TTATATTTTTTGATCATCTGGCTTCAATTTTTGAAGACTTAAATTTAAAAAAAAATTTCGGTGGTGGGATCTGACCATGTTATTTTACCATTTTTTGATCACATTTCTCTGGTAAAAATGATATGTCTGGAAAACACCGTTTTCATGTTTTTTTGACATCATAATTTCGATTATTGGGATCTTAAAGTACAAACAAATTTAAATTTAAGAACTAGCCATTTTTTGACCATTTTTCAAGCCCTAAACTTAACAACCTTAAATCTAATATAGCCAAAGGCGTCAAGATCTAAAACTAAATGCCTAATTTATCGGAACCCTAGTAATTTAAACCTACCTATTTAATTTCCTAGGCGCCAAAAAATTGTCAAAAAATGACCAGTTCTTACAACCTAAATTTGTTTATACTTTAAGATCTCAATAATCGAAATTATGATGTCAAAAAACATAAAAACAGCTTTTTCTAGGCAAATATAATTTCTCCAGAGACGTGGTCAAAGAATGCCAAAAATTGCTAAAATAAAATGGTCAGATCTCATCATCCAAATTTTATTAGTCGTCAGGATAACAAAAATCTAAGTCGGTATGTCAACAAATATAAAAATAGATTCTTATAGAGAATTATCCTTTTTTGGAAAAATATGATCACAAAGGCCAAAAAATGGTAAAAAATGGCCCCTTTTAATTGCCCTAATTTTTTTAGATTTCATAATCCAATAACTAAGTCAGTACATCAAAAAATATAAAATAAGCTACTTTTAGACAAAAAATTCTTTTTTCCAGAGATATGGTCTAAAAACCAAAAAAATAATCAAAAATGTCTGTTACCACTTTTAGACTTTAAGAATATGAAATTCGGATTCAGCATGTCCAAAATCATAAAGCTTACTACTAGATTAGGGTATTTTCCATGGATAGATGATTTTAAACTAGGTACTGAATTTTTTTTTTAATTTCTAATTATAGTCGTCATTATGTGACCACCATTTTGAATTTCGAAATTTTCCCAAAAATGGCCATCATATACAAACATTTTGAGACCTTCAACATATTTTTTCCTTGCATGTTAAAATGAGGAATATATGGATTTTTCTTTTTACTGTGTTGCCACATTTCTCAGAATGTACAAATTAAAAATATATTCAACTATACACGGTGTTCCACTTTTCCTGGACAGACACCAACTTTGGTTTTTTAAATGGAAACACACATTTTTTATATTTTTTCGGATTCTACATAAAAAATAAAGGGTACTTTGTGTAGAATAGTTCTATTCAAATATTCACAGTTATCTCGATTGAAAGGTTTTTCTAGTCGATATTGGTTGCTTACATTTTCTGATACTGACAGGTTATACTAATAGCTACTAAGCCCATTTTTTTATCAGATGTTTAGTAAGGATGACTCTTCCGAATCATGCTCCAAAAACTGGCCTGCGTTATACAGGGTGGCCAAAATATCATGTCAAAATTGCCAATTGATAAATTGAAAAATCTCGATTTTTTTTTAAATGCAACGCCCTGTATATTTTCATACCATGAGATACAGAATTAAACTCTCTACAACATTGCTATACCTGCTCCTATACCAAAATTCATTAGTTTTTCATGAAATCTCATTTCTATGAAAAAATGCGAAGTTTACAAATTGCTTATATGTAAAATAACGTAGTAGGCTCGATTCACATAAGGTTTAATAGAAAGAAAGGTTTAATAGAAGAAGAGAGGCCCATGGTAACTGTATATTGGCAAGTCGTATTTACCAAGCTAATAATCAAGATTTACAAAGATATCCTCGTACAGTGTTTTGTAAAACTGAAGGAGAGGTTTGAAAGAACGGCAAATGCAAATTATGAGAAATGCATGTGGTAATCAAGATAGTCAAATTGACATTTTGGAATGTGCAGTCCAAAATCCATCTACAAGTGTCAGAGAAATTAGTGATGAAATTAGTATTTCCAAAAGTGTGGTTAATAGAACGTTAAAGAAAAACAACTTCCACCCCTATCATTCTGAGCATCACCAATTCTTAACACAGCAAGATTTTCAGAAGCGAGTACAGTTTTGTGTGGGCAACTATAAAGCTACAAGATGAAATTTTTTTTTTCAAAGGTGTTATTCACTGACGAGTCATCCTTTGCCAATACTGGTCGAGAGAGTCAACATAATTATCACCATTAGTAAGATTAGAAGATCATCAACACTGCTTTAAAGTCAACGTTTGGGCGGGAATATGCAGAAAATATGTCATTGGACCACATTTTCTTGAAGGAAACTTAACTGGTAATAGGTATTTGCAATTTTTACAAAACAACTTGCTCCAATTGCAGGGACATATTCCTGTGGATGACTTAAACAGTCAGTGGTTCCAACATGATGTTGCCCCTGCACATTCCACACTGGCGGTAAGTTTTCTCATTATGTAAGTTATGTAAATTCATAGAAAAACTGTTTCAGGTTAGAGAATACTTAAATGATTTGTACCCAGATAAGTGGATAGGTAGCCAATTCCATGGCCTCCCCGATCCCCAGACCTGTCTTGTCTTGATTTTTTTTATGGGGCTATATAAAAGACAGGGTGTATGAAACTCCTCCGACAGATGTAGAAGATTTACAGGCAAAGATAAGAAATGCTTTTTTGATCCTAACTCCGGAAATGCTGCGAAATATGTCAAGCAATTTTCGTCATAGAATTGCTCAATGTCTATAGAAAAATGGCAGACATTTTCAACGGTTACCTGTTAATTACTAATTTAACTAGGTCTTTATTACTTTTGTTAGAAATGCACGATGTTAATTTACTGTTTTGGAAACTGCATGCGTGTGTTCTTGTTGTCTTCTCATAATTTGTATTTGTTGTACTTTCAAACCTCTCCTTCAGTTTTACAAAACACTTTGTAAGAGGATATCTTTGTAAATCTGGATTATAAGCTTGGTAAATACGACTTGCCAATAAACAGTTACCATGGGCCTCTCTTCTTCTATTAAACCTTTCTTTCTATTAAACCTTATGTGAATCGAGCCTACTACGTTATTTTACATATAAGCAATTTGTAAACTTCGCATTTTTTCATAGAAATGAGATTTCATGAAAAACTAATGAATTTTGGTATAGGAGCAGGTATAGCAAAGTTGTAGAGAATTTAATTCTGCATCTCATGGTATGAAAATATACAGGGCGTTGCATTTAAAAAAAAATCGAGATTTTTCAATTTATCAATTGGCAATTTTGACATGATATTTTGGCCACCCTGTATAACGCAGGCCAGTTTTTGGAGCATGATTCGGAAGAGTCATCCTTACTAAACATCTGATAAAAAAATGGGCTTAGTAGCTATTAGTATAACCTGTCAGTATCAGAAAATGTAAGCAACCAATATCGACTAGAAAAACCTTTCAAGCGAGATATCTCAAAAACTGTGAATATTTGAATAGAACTATTCTGCACAAAGTACCCTTTATTTTTGATGTAGAATCCGAAAAAATATAAAAAATGTGTGTTTCCATTTAAAAAACCAAAGTTGGTGTCTGTCCAGGAAAAATGGAACACCTTGTATAGTTGAATATATTTTTAATTTGTACATTCCGAGAAATGTGGCAACACAACAAAAAGAAAAATCCATATATTCCTCATTTTAACATAGATATTGGACTTTCCCGCACTAGTGGGACACGCTGTATATATATACAGTGCATCCCAGAAGTAAAGCAAAAAATTCGTATTTTATTTTGTGTTGCGTTTTCACAAAAACTCAAAAACACGTCAATTAGTAAATAGGAATTGTCATTTTGTCACGTTGCTTAAACCGTTTTTGCGCTATGTTTCATAAACCTATGACATCATCGACATTTTTAAATAGCACTACCTAATTTTTTAAGCATAAATGGATAGCCCTTTTGAAGGGAAATATATCGATATAGGGTTTGGCCTACTTTATTTTGACAGGTGCGACAAAAAAGCCAACGACTGGAATGAACATGGTTTAAAATAACAACAAAAATAGGTATCATTAACTGATGCGAGAACAGTGCCACAGCAAAAAATGGGAATTTGTGGATGTTTTGTGTTTTGGTTGATTGTAGGTACATGTTTTTATGTATTGGCGTTTTCGGCGACAGGACGAACGGCAGTGTGTGATTTTCAGTGACAGCTAAACATAACATTTTGCCTATCATTTTCCGTCACTGTCGTTGGCCTTCCAGATCTAGATAGATCTCTAACATGTCCAGCATCTTCAAATTTGCGTACTAATCTACATACTGTAGATGGAGGTATTGGTTGTTCTGGATACTTGGCATTGAATAATTGACACACTTCATCATAACTACGGATTCTCTCTCCGTATCCAACCATAATTAGGATTTTAATTCTTTGTTTTTCACTTAAACGCAAGACCATAGTAATGTAAAGTTATGGTATTTGTAACTGCCACAATGATATGAGGCACTATTGCATTCGCTAACTATAGTCTTCAAAACATTACCTAACCGCTGTGATCGGGTGAAACTACCCAATCTACATAAAAACATGTACCTACAATCAACCAAAGCACATTTTTTGCTGGGGCACCGTTTTCGCATCAGTTTGTGGTACCTACTTTTGTTGCTATTTCAAACCTGTCCATTCCAATCGTTGGGCTTTTTTTTCGCACCTGTCAAAGTAAAGTAGGCCAAACCCTAAAATACGAATTTTTGCGTTACTTCTGGGGCGCACTGTATATATATATATATGATAAAATATTATAATGAAATTTTACAATTTCTAATATTTCAGGTGTTTATAAATAATCCCTACTGCTTATACAATTATGTTACACTTAGTGGATGATGAAATGAGTTAAGTTAACAAAAGATAATTATTAATAGAATTGGTAGTTCTGTGAATGATTAATAAAAAGCAAATGTAATAACTTCATATGAATAAGGTGCAAGAAATACATCAAATTGTTTCTACATGAATGTTAAATGTAAGTTGTATACCTATAATGATACTCAAATACGTACGTTCTTTTATGTATAACCAGATTAGCCAATGTGAAGTTCAAAATTATTTTGACGACTGCAATCCATTAGATTGGTATCTGAAACAATAAATAGTGTAAAACAGATGACAAAATATCTGAAAACATCAGTATATTTTAAACAGATAATTTCCCATGTAAAGTATAGATCAATTTTTTTATTATAGACAACAAAAACAAATAATTTTACATTGCCTTAAAGGTATAACTTAATTGTAACTAATTATAAAAATCTTCTCGTCAAATCAAGCCGTATAATTTGGCCAATGATTGTGTCCTCAACAGGAATTCTAAATAATTTTACCATTTTTCTGATTTCATGTGTAGAATCTGCAAAAAAATTAAAAATTGACCAGAAGCACTAAGAAATATTGGTAGTAATTAAAAGGTAATAAATTGGCCAGAAGTTAAAAGGTCATAAATTTTAAATGTTTTGCGAAAAAATAATTGACGAGTTAAACATATTTGATTCTGGGTAAGATATAACCTATAATGTATATGTTTTAAAAATATGTTTGCTACTCAATACCTATGGGCATAAAGCATTGCTTTGTAGCTACTGGCAAACAGTGATCTGTCTACTAATCTGCAGGTGATATGAAAACTTGACTTTTGTACTAGACAAAAAAAACCTTTTTTACTAATGCTATTGTTGGAAACAACTACTCTGCGAGCTACAAGCAGCATTGAATCACACACCCAACAGTTACAATCATTCAACAGCACCAGACATAACCGGTTTCGAACTTAATAGTCTTCATTTACAGGGTGATCCATTAAAGGTACGGAGCAGTTGTACATAGGAAACTAGACACACTACGATTATGGGGTAAAAAATCTATGAATAAATACGGTCAAAGGAAATTGATTTAAAATATTTTCAAGTTTATAACTTCACCGCTATAGGGCACAACTGCTAGTGTTACAGAAAATTGTCGTTTTTTCGAAATTTCGCTTATATAACCTAAGATAAAAATACACTTTTCGTCGTCTACTGTTGCACAGGAAAATAATATTTTTATTCCCATATCATAAATATAAATTTTACTAATAGTTCTTTAAAATGAGCCGTCGTTTCGTGAAATCGATTAAGGAATTTAGAAGTTATGATAATTTAAAAATTTCAAGATGGGGTCCTTCATTAATTCATTTTAAGAATATCTGGATTTATTTTCATCGATAATATTTTGGTATGTTAAAACAACAATAACTCCTTAGTAACAAGCTAGTCATTAATAAATACCTAAAATAAAAAATAAATTGGTTGTGGATATTTAAAGTGAAATGTGGAATGCCCCATCGTCTATAAACCAACAATATCCAAACAGATGGATCGGTAGAGGTATTGATGCTCCTGAAAACTGGCCCCCTCGTTCACCAGATTTGAGGTCCCTCGATTATTTTTTATGGGGGTACTCTAAAATCAATGGTTTACTCCAGACCCACAAATACTTAAGAGGAATTATGGAGACGCATTCAAAATTCAGTGAATATTTTAAAGCAAGATGTGGAAATGATGCAAAGAGTACAGTTTAATTTTCTTCGATGTATTAATCTTTGTATACATGAAAACGGTGGTTATTTGAACATTTACTTAGTGTTTTTGCATAATTAATAAAATTAACATATTTTCAATTTTGTTTTATTGCTTATTTTGCAGTTGTATTGCAGTTTGTTTGGTTGCACCCTATCAACTAAGGTAAGTTGAGTTAAATCGTCCTTTAATTACATTTTTTAGCAAACGGTTGCTCCTAGCGACATTAACAAGGTATATCTTTTTCAAACGCAACACGTAGACGAACAAATGTTACCAGTTCAAAATCATGTACAGTGAATGGCAAAAAAGTTAAGACAGTTTACAAATGCTCCATACAGTGTATGTGGCGTCCTCTACATCATACATAAAATTTATTAACATGTTTGAATTTTTCACCCTAAAAAAACCCTATAGGTATACCAAATTTTATAACGTCACGTGAAGAAATTAGAAAATAAATTATTAACTTTGACGCCTTGTATTTCCGTAATTATCAACTTTTGTACTAAGGTAGGATAAGGCAAATCGATCTATTTTCACCTCAATAATTTGTGGTAGAATTCTGTACAAACCTTTCAGGGACATCCTGTATTTTTGTATTTTAAGGGTCACCTCTAGAAAATGGAACTAATCGATATCTGGACATCAGTAGATATTATTAAATTATATATAAAATATATAATTTCTAGATTTATAGGATTAATAAAGTATAAGATATTCTGATTATGCTGATTTATTAAATATTGTCTTTAGAATTAAATAATACAGATTAAGAATTTAGATATATGTATCAACAAGAATTATAAAATTTTCAATACGTTGAAAAACAAATTATAACTAAACGATTCTATATTTAATTTTACAAAGTAAATGTTTAGAATGTTTATATTAAAAGAGAAACTAGTTTTCAGTACTTTTTTGTGAAATCTGGGATGTAGGTCCTAAACAACTAGTCTGGCTGTATGTGATGGTCATTAAACCTATGATCTTGTAGGCTTGATAGTTTGGTGGTCTAAAAATCAATGGAGCAGTCAGCTGCACACCATCAGCTGCTTTGAAATTTCTATTAGATTTACCGTTTCTCCATACGTTATTAGAGAAATGTGCTGGACAGTATACATATTAAAATAATCAGATACTAAGAGGCCAAAAAGTGACAACAAATTACTGGAAGATATAGAAAGCCACAGCTTTCTGCTGATGATCTCGCAATCAGATGTTATACCAACTCAAATTAATTTCCCTATCCCTAGTCGAGATGACTGGAATATGGACATAACCGACCTCCTGAGGGGAGATAATGTTAGTGTACAGACCGCTCTAAAATTCCAGAGCTTATCGGAGTTGGGGTATTTAGTTGCAACCTGAGAAGGTACATAACTGACAAAATACTGAAAAACCACTAATAATGCCCAATGGCATGCAACCTATATAACTATAATATTTCAAATTCAAAATCTTATGATCATTCAGGAATAGATCAGATATCAATTTTCAATTGTTTCGCTACGCGTAGGCGCGGGCAAATATGCCTAGCTGACAATAGATGATAGTAAAAATTAGTTTACAAAAATAATCTCTTCACTGATCCTTTCAGTGCAAGGTGTTATATAGGGTGTCTCAGTATTCTGTATACCACAGATCCTCATGATCAAAATAAGACAATCAAGATGATTTAATTAAACTTACCCTTATCCAAAGTACATATTTTTTTCACAGGTAATGTTATGTGACCTTAAAATTCAGTTCTTTATCACCAACTTCTTTTTTTATTTGCAATGGTTTTTGTATAATTATTTTATTAATCATCAACGCATTTTCGATACTGATATATGTTAATTTATAACGTGCCGAAATCTCAAGCTATATGCCCTGGCTAGCTATTTCCAATTTAACCGCCCTTTTTGCTTTACCTGAGAACTCGAAAACCACAAGAGTTCCCAAAACTATCTCATGAACCAAAAATTTTTTTCTATTCTTTCTGGGTTTTTCTTTTAAAATCAAAGTGAAAGGAAATATTCAAACAGATTTTATTTGTGACACAATATATTAAAGAATATTTTGAATAACTATTTTCCTTGACTATATACACTAAGACTATCAGTCCTTAATAAACACTGAAATAGTTGTCAAAACTTCTGTTAGATGTCGCACTATATGGCATTCTGCATTTATTCAAACAAAGGAAATAAAGCGCGACTACGTCAGTCTGCAAAAAACGGCGAAGGCGTTTCAAGGGCGTGACTTCTCGCATTTCGCATGCCCTACCAACATTGGAGATATATTCTGTTTGTCGAAATTATCGTTCAAATTAAAATATAATCCACTAATACAATATTCTATCATGTGTAGTTAATATAAATAAATAAATAAAATCATAAGACTATAGAATATTAAAATATAAATATAATTTTCAACAATATGCCAATATTTCCGGTTTCTATTTATGCTTATCTTTAATGATGTTAAGGTCATTTAAATGAATTATATACAGATAAGATTTTGTACACATATTGATGGTAGTCAGGTGCGCATGCCACGACATATATTTTCTTCAATAAATGGTCAAACTAAAAAAAATATGTATGCAGTTTTGTTGTTATTAAAATAAAATATATAAATAAATCTCAAAAATAAATAACGAATAGGTACATAGGTACATTACTAACAAAAAATAGGCAATAACTTCTTTGGGCACATTAATAGTATTAATTTAGGAATATTATTTTTATACAACAAAATTCTTTACAAAGCCCGGAAAAAGTTCTCTTTATAATTTATTTTATTATAATTAACTTGTGTGCATAACCAAGTGGCTAAGCTACTTATTTTCATCGAATAAAAGTTAATAAGAGGTTTTCCTAGATAATCTAAACAAGAAAATAAAACAACAAAAAAAAAATTAATAAAACAAGATTAATAAAAAAATGTATATTTGTCTGTTAATAATACGTACTTCCATAATACACAGGGTGAGCCAACATTAGGTAAAAGTAGATCCGAAGCTTATCAAAAAAATATTTCTACAAAAGTATTGAGGATAAGACATGGTTAACAAAAGTTGTTAGTTTTGGAAAGATCTAAAGAAATATTGAAAAGTATACAGGATGTGCCAATTAATAGAAATATATTTTTTAATTTAAATTTCTTCAAATTTGTCACTATTTTACGAATGATTTTCGCAAGTGGTCTTTATAGTAATATACGCTACCAAACATATTCTTTTAATATTTAAAAATAACAAAGAAAAAATAACAACAATTAAATACAGGTACAAAAATGGACTGTTTTTTATTTGATCCCAAATACAACTTAAAAAACTATTAAGTTTAGATGTAGTGAAACCTTATATGAAAATGTTTAGAATTGAACGTAGAATGCAAACATAGTAATATATCTAATCTAATATATCTAACTGGTTGTCTTAATGATTTAATCTTCTTTTCTTGTAGTTTACATTTCGTATTTAAACTACTTGAAGGACGATTGGAACTTGAAACTTCCAGATCTGGCAAATTAGTTA